TGTATTGATTCATGTGAAGTTAAAAAATTAGACAATAATACATATGAAGTTTCTGACAGGAAAAATAATTTAGTTCATATTGTTACTAAATTTAAAGAAGGTGTTTGTTGTGTTTTGGTTTGTAACTTTTGTAGAATATGTGTTCATATGTATCAGTGTTCTTGCATTGATTTTTCAATTAAAACAAATATTTGTAAACATATACATTCTGTAGGCTTACTTAATAAAAATTATCATTTAACAAAAATTAATAAAACCAGCAAAGTAGAAGTTGATGAATTAGTAAACAATATTTCCCAAAAATCTTCATTAAAAAATTCATCAGAAATAATAGAGAAATACATGTCACATTTACAAAACAATTTAAGTACCTTACATTACACACCAGAAGAACATGAGCACATTATTAAAAATTTAAAAAGTTTAGTCAACTTTGGTTCTGCAACACCGGTGGACCAGCCTTTGAACAATTATGTAAGCAAAGATGTAACACAAGTAAATAAAAAATAGAAAGGCAAATATTTTTCTCTACAAAAAAAAAGAAAACTTTAAAATCAAAAAGGATTAGTAAGCCAAATTCTACCGAAATTAAAATAATTAAAGAAACATTAGCAAATGATCTTTTTATTTCTAACTCCCTTCAAAATGATCATTTGTATTGTTAATGTATGTAAATAAGTTAATTCATAATTTGCTGATGTACTCAATATTTTTCCTAAAATATTTTTTTATAGTAGTTACTAATAAAATAACATGTAGCCTACTATAATGAATCACCTGTATATAATTTTTCAAAATATCTAATTTTATTTTCTGTTTCAGGACTTTCTAGAATTATTTTAAATTATCTTTGTTTTTGTTAACTTTTTCTTTTTAGATACAATATAACAGCTGTCCCTTCTCGATACACGTTTTACTTTAAGAGCTTCATTCATATGGTGGTGAATTGTATGGAAAGTATTTCTATAAAGTAATTTTTATTATAATACTTTTTTAAATTATAATTCTACATTGTGTAATTTTTATACTGATGGTGGTGGTAGTTTTTCCGGGTTTTCCTCTCACCTGTAAAGCAAATGCGCCATCTTATTTTTCTGAAAATCGCCCCCGGAGTGTATCCATTTTTACTTAACTTAATAAATATTGTAAACCTCAATATAATATTCTAAAAAAAGGTAGTTTTTTTAATAAATAATATTTAGTCTTAATTTGATTTTATTTCCCTTTTCATAAGATAGTGAATAAATGTCGTTCGAGGAAGAACTTAAATTAATATAATGGTATGTGGAGTAAAGTGGTACCTATATCATTTGAAAGGTCTTGCGCATTGATGTATAGATAATTCCTTTGAAATTGTGGATGTATGTATCACTACCAACTATACTCAACCTTTTTTCCTTCGGGCCACATACATATGTTTGCTATGTGACATGGGCCGCAAAATTGTTGGTTAATAACTTTTTGGGCTATCTATTTAAAACTAGTTAGGGTTCACCTGGTTTTACATTTACTTTCCATCTAATAAAATACAAAAATTAAACATATCCAAACGTTTATTTAAAAATGACTGAAATTTGGAAATTCAGTTTTAAAAAGCACCTTCCTAAAAATTGTGTTTTGGGCCGCATATAAAAAGCTTGACTATGTAGAGTATCGCTGCTCTAGACCTACCTCATGGATAATTTTAAAAAAGATGAGATTAACTACTTATTCTAGAAGGTTAAAACTGGGATGGATATTAATAATTTTGTCAGAAAACAATCGTATTTTTTTAAAAAAAATTATGTTTTTCTTGGGTTCGTTTTTGTTGAAACATCCTGTATATCTAAATAATTGATTATCAAAAATATAACACATTTAACTCAAAAGTATAACTACAACTAACAAATATCCAAATTGAGAATACTAATTGAAATAAGAAAAATGATTAACGAGATTCATTGGATATTTAAAAATACCCGCCTAATTACGGAAAGATTCGCTGACAGCTGACATTTCTTCGTCGGAAAACTGGCAACACCGTTTTTCCATGTGGTCAGCATTTAGACGTTCCTCCATATGATGGGCGCCATGATAAATAAATGTCAATAAATTTTAAGTTGGCACTTCTGACAAGACAGAATCGGCACAAGTTTAGTAATAAGCGTAAGATCGGCGTTCGACGTATATAATCGATTTTATTATCTGTTGTGTCGTTTATTTTGTTCTTCTAGTAAAGGTTTTATTTAAAACATTATTTTTTAGTTTAGTCGTTTAGTATTTTATTTTAATAAAAAACATTTGTGGTTTGGTGTTAAATTTTTACAAAATCTCTTGTTGTTTTGTACGTGAATGTAACAATGCATCCAACGGTAGAAGATACAAGGAAGGAATAACATTTCATGTGTAAGTTTTCAAAAATATTTGTATATTTTCAAAATCAAATAATTTGTGTTTTGTTGTAGCATACCAAAAAATTTTAGGAAAGAATAACTGATAGCCATAGGAAGACCATTGAATCATTTTGTGACTTTAGTATAAGCCCAGAAAATTTGGGGATACTAGCTGAAACGGCAAATGTGTTATTGGCTCCTTGTTAGTGGCCTATTGCACAATTTTTCCAACACACGTTCCATGATCTTTTGAACTTGGCTGCACCGTACTGATGAAGACCAATAGTCAGAAAAACGTGTCGACCGTTACTTCTTTTTTACTTTTTTTTATTCGGAAAATGTCCACTATTACTACCTTGATACAATAATATTAGTTCCGTTCTAAGTAGGTACATATTATAGTTTGTATGTTTTATGCTTTATTTTATTACATGTAATAAATGATAGGAAATATACTTTTATAGTAAATAAATTGATTAAAGCAATATGTAAGAATAAGTTTATCTAAGGATTAAATTGTTAAAGCAATTTTTCATATCCATTGTTTATTAATTTGTTTCATTTAATTCTTTCTTATTAAGTAAGTTATTTCATATAAATATGCGATACTTGTAAAATGTAATATTTTCTTTTAAATAGGTATATATTATGTTTGTATAAAATATTGTTCAGTTAATAAAAACAGAAATATTTGTGTTTTATTCAAAAGAAGATTGTAAATTTTTCAAAATATATTTACCTACCCCAAAAAAAGATTAATAAAACGAGTTAGTCATATACACATTTTCTATATATTTATAGAGGTACTTTTTAAATAACTTTCAATACATTCGAAATCTGTGGTTTTATTAAACTCAATGTAACAAATAATAATAGGTATTCTCAAAAATATTTAAAAATAAAATCGAGATGGGACTCTTGTATAATTTAGTGACTATTCGCCTATGGTTAGTGCACTGCTGTATGTTCCTGGGTTTTCTACTTTTGAACAATATTGCTTCTCCACTCTAGCAGTATTTTTTGCATCTCACAAGATTATATTTATTTAAAAAACCAAGGAATTGTTTTGAGCCTATTGCTGTGCCCTTTTCCAACATTCCCAAAGTTTTTTTTTTACTTTCTGCTGATTGGATCTCCGATAGCGACAACTCCATTTGTTGTTCCACTAGTTTTTTTTATCAAATTTTTAAAATAACTTCTATATATTTATCTTTTGCAACGACTTTGCTTACCTGCTTAATAATCTCTTCCCTATGCCCCAATTTCTCTAACAGGTGAGATCTTATACTCGCTCTATTAAATCAAATTATCATTATAGTTTATTTAAAAATGCTCTTGGTAGCACAGTTTTTATGGCAAAGGTCCATATTTTTATATAATTTTGCTATTATTCATTTTCAAATAAACTATAGGAATAGGAGTAATCTATTAGTTTTTCTAAAAATACCTTGTTACCGATGTAAATATATCTTTCCCTAGTTAAAAAATTCGAGTTTTTATTTTCATAATATAAATAAATGACCGGTTAACAATCACATTCTTTTAAATAGTATATTTGACATTGAAGTAGGTATTTTCTCCATATTGCCAAACAGGAACAGATGGTTTACTTGTAATTTGAATTATATTATATAAATCTCACTGAATTTCTCTATAATTCTCATAGCAATATGTACACAAAACACTTATCCAATAATATATATAACCATGTAAAAATAACATTTCAAGAACGAGAAAATTTATAAAACCGGTCCTGTCTGAACAGATCTAGGAAAATCAAATAGTTTGTCAAAGTTTTGTTCTTAATTTGAAATTAGAAATTGTGCATCTTACTCACTTATAACTAATATCAAAGTGCAGATTATCGGTGATCACGTATTACAGAACACACAAACTAAAAATCAGTGTAGCCAAAACATAAATTTACCTAACATGGCGACAAGCTTGAATGGGGTCATTTTTTTGTATTGACAGCATACGCCAAGCGGTATCTAGACTTTCTGAGGGCTATGTCCTTAACCTATTCTTTTTTTATCATTTTAAACCTCTTGTGCAAAATTTATTACTATTAAATTCAGTGTTTTTCTAAAACTTCAATTTAAATATTATCAATGACCTCCATTGGCTTTTATATAGAATTTATTATACATTTAAAATTAATTGTTCCTAATAACATAGCCAAAAAAACATAACCTCATAGTTTTAAAAATTCCTACATTTTCAGACTATTTTGAAGATTGGGCAACACTGCAAGGCTATTACTTCACAATTGATTGATGACGTGTATCGGTTTTTATATTGAATTCTCTATATTTGAGATACTAACTTCACACACCCCTTTGGTGGGGTATCGTAGAAAAAAATAATTTAGAACTAATTACTCATTTCCAACTTGAGTGGGAAAAATACCGATTTTAACGTCCTCTAAAAAAACTATTTTTGTTTACTTTAGTTTTCTTTATTAACAAACTATATAACTTACACATGCATAAACATACTATCATAGTGAAACAAATGAGGGTATAAAAGATAGTATAATAAGAATCTGAAACGGCAAAGGATGCAATATCTGGCAAAAAAACGTGAAAGAATGCCAGAAAACACAATTTAATAATCTCTTCAGTAATTTTATAATTCAATATAAGGATATTTGGATGCAGAATATTTTGTCAAGTTTTCTCGAGAGAAGTTCTTAAATTTCTTGCTAAGTTTGGGATAATCATCTAAAATAAGCAAAACCGTTGATTTTTTTAACATAAATACCTCACAAGGAGTAATAGCAACGACGGAATGAGTTCTTTTACTATCAAAATACATGTCGACATCTCCAAAATAATCTCCGTCCTTTAAATGACATACTTCTTCGTTGTGTTCATTATATACAGCAACAGTGCCATAATAAATAAAATACATACCATCGGCATGATCTCCAGCAACGATTATCACATCATCAGGCAGATATATTTCTGATATCAAATTAGCAACAACTTTACAAAGAATCAATCGAGGTAGAAATTTCAAAAAAGCCGTTTGAGCTAAATTCTTCTCAGCAATGTTCATCATTACTTCCTCCTTTATCGCATTCGATAAAACTGAATTAATTTCTGCATCATTGAAAAACCTATTTTGATATTTAAACTTGAAGTACAACCAAATCTTTTCTTTAATATTAACCGGCAAACCTTTATATGTCATGTACTGTTTAATTTGCTGCATTAGTTCTTCGTACTTTTTTTTAGCGCTGTAAAATTTGTTCCAAACTTGAAAGCACTCTACATGCAAGAATAAACTAACAACAAATGCTAAAAGGAAACTTACGATTATCGTCATATGGACAGTAATGTTGTGTAATGGCTTTATACCGTGTGTAACCAAACACAAAATCAAAGAAGCTGATAAATAATCCTTTGCAACATTTGGTACGTGTTTTACATTAAGACGGTAATCGATATTGTAATTAACAACAAATAAGATAGAATGTAAGAATAGCATTGTCAAAACGTAAAGTAAAATGGCCTTAAGAGCTTTAAATGTATGATCAGAATATTCCTGAGTTTTTTAATAAGTTCTATCGCTTCCAAAAATCGATTAATTCTTAAAAATCTTAGCATTCCAGTAAAAGTAGCTATATCCAAAAAAAACGCTTGTTTATAAATTGGTATGTCCATGACACGTGCAGTTAAAAAACAAACAGAAGGGATTAAAGAGACAAAATCTACTACAAAATATGTTTTTAAATATTTCCAAGATATGGTGGAAAGGTCAAGTACACTCTTAGATTTTATAGGATCATAGTAACCTTCAAAAAATAGTTGGATCAAATCCACAAAAAAGAAAGCATCTCCTACACACTTGGCTATATTCACATTAAAATAATTTTCATAATCGTTCAGGAAGAGGGAATTCAAGCTGTACACAAATATCATATAAAAATACACAAAAAACATGACATACTCCCAAACTAGATTAAATTTGCTGTAAGGATGAATCGTAAAAGGATATCTCGCTAGCTGTCTTGCTTGTTCATTTTTGTTGGCTGCATCTGATCGATAATGCTTTTGCGCCCGAGGATGTTCAGGATACAAAATTCTTTGTCTACTGCACCACCTTCTCAAATTGATAAAAATACCACCTTCAATGGAGTAGTTGATTATATCGTCATCTTCATGGCCTGTTAAAAGGTCACATTTGGTATGACCAAAGTCAGAACGGTTAAACATTTTTTCTTTGTAAAATGAAAATCAACAATTTGACACATTCAATCAGCGTTACTAGGGCTATTGTCAAAGAATACCTACCCAAGAAGCGAAACTGAATGGTTTTCGTATGTACCAATGCATGGGAACTTAATACACTGGGAAACATATGAAAATTAATAATTTTTTGTCGTTTGGTTCATAAGTATTAAACACATACTAAAGTAACAATGGGTTCGTTCACCGTCATCAAACAGTCTCGTACGATTACGAATCGGTAAAAGTAAACGAGCAAACTCGAAACAGCTTTTTTAAAACCGTTTGGTAAAACGTAAAAGCGCAAATTAAAGTCGCTTCTACGTTTAACAATCAAAAGTATGCCAAATGGGAACTAAAGAAAGGGTTCTGTGGCAGTGTTGTTATCGCAAGTTGAAGTAAAATGCGTTTTAACATATTTTCCCGTAAAATAATTTCAATACCTGACTCAAAATGTTTGGAATAATAAATGATCCTAGGTTAATTTAAAGTACAAAAGATATGTCAAATTATTTCCAATTTCAACCCGTCCTTTTTTCGTTCGTCATCTAAAGTGACCATATTTTGAAAATTAGAAAGTGGGATAAATCAAAAACATTGAGATTAGGAGATTTTTTGTCAAAGAATTCTATATTTTGAAGTAGTGAGGGTTCACTGGAGAGCAAAAAAACATCACCATAATGGCTTAAAAGCGGGATAAAATCGGGACACATGTTAAATCGGGACTATTGATTTAAAATCGGGACTGTCCGACCTAAAACGGAACGGATGGTCACTTTACCGTCATCACAACTGTTTACACGAAGCATAGAAACGTATGATTCCTAAATAAATCATTAACTAAATGACAGTGAGCACGGCCAATGAAACAGAAAATTCTATGTTCATTATGTAAAATAGATTATTTTAATAACGAAATAAGTACTGTAGGTACAATAATGACAGTCACTACACAATAGCGCAAGCAGAAAATCTGGTCATTCTGCAAATAGGGCATTTTGAGAACATACTCTGCGAAAGAATTCAAGTATGTCTCAAAATTATAGGACAATGGTGCAAGGATCATTCACTGTATATCAATCTCAAGAAAATGGAAATGGTCCTTTTCACAAGGAAAATGATGAAAATGAAATTGAAACCTCCCGAGCTCCTAAACACAAAACAAAATTTTGCAACCATCAAGACAGAATGAAGTAGAGACGACATAAACATTGTTTTGCGATATGACATAAGGACGCACTTCTAGTGACGAAAAAGTGTAATGAAAATGATGACTTTAGTCGTACTTTGATTTATTTGAAGTCAATCATTTTATATTTGAAGTCTGACGGAATGACAATAATTATATATCTTTTAAAGGCAACTATTTAAAAAAAAATGGCATTTATTCTCACCAAAACTGATTAGCTTCACTATCTCGAATTTGACATATGACGTAAAAATGTAATGCAAATGTGCGGACACTTTAGGATCGTCATAGCATCTCTTCTCTTTATTCTATCTCAATACTTGCAACAGAGGTGAAGCAAGTTAACACAGAACTCACACATGGAAAACAGAGTCACAAGAGCATACATTGCTTATGAACAATACCGCCGAACCGTGGGACCCACCTGGGGTTTCTTTCCCAGAGTCATCAATGGACTTACATGGCCATCATAAAACACCTATGCTAACATACGGTGCAGTTATCTAGGTACCGAAAATCCAAAAATTGATAGCTATCCGCAAACTAGAACAAATGAAAACCACACCAACCAGAGCCATGGAAGTCGTTCTTAGTATTACTCCCCTTGATATTTACATCAAGAAGGTTACTCTGATGACAATGACATGCCTCTGTACGATTGGAATAGTAGGATATGATGAGGCGAGACGTCACTTTTGGCAAAAGGTGCTCGATACACTCTTACAGCTTCAAGCTAACATGAACTTCATCTCACCGAGATTTATCTTCCATAAGCCATGTATTAAAGGTCAAGCCACGTCAAAGGATAGCCGTCTTGCCGATTCAGTAGCCAAGAAGGCAGCCAACTAAATACTTTTTGGACCTGGCCCTTCTATTGGACTGACAACATCGGTAGTGACAAATCTAATTGAAGAAGATTGCCAAGGAGCTTTTAAGTGTTCCTGACAACACTACAAGAAACAAATACTTAACTATGACTTGACAAAATCTGCGCCTGAATACAGGCATTCTGACTGATCATTGCCAAGTAGGGAAGCATCTCCATATTATGGGACTGTCAGAATCAGCATCCTGCAGGGGGTGCGAACAAGAAGATTTGACCATCGAGCATATCCTGTACGATTGGCCGACGCTCTCATTTATTAGAATATTTGTTTCAGACGAGTATTGTCTAACATCAACCAATAAATGAGAAGCACCTCTTGGTAACGTTGTCAACTACATTAAACCTGAAGGCTAGCTCACGAGCTAGGAGGTGCCTATCCTCTTAGAAGGAAGCACAATGGACATAGTGAGGCATAAGTGCCGTGGGATAACCCACTCTCCACACGTCACATATATAGGAGTACTGTAGGTAGCTGTAAATGCATTTCAATTGCATTCTGATTGCAGCGACTTGGTTCCTCGGGGTGAATTTGTCATATATTTTAATTATTGTTTTGTATTATTTTTTATTTACTGTTTTAATCCGAATTAATTGAAAAATAAAAAAAAAACAAATTTTAAATAAATGACTATGAATTTAAACGATGCATAATACGTAGGCGTAAAACATTTAGTTTGAAATATAAAACATTTACAGCCAGATGCAAGACCGCTCATTAAAATTCAAATAACAAATATCTTAAAACTATCTAATTTCTAATTAATAGTTAGTTAAATACAACTACGTACTTTACTGCAATTTTCAAAAAACGCTAATAATAATATACCAAACGTTCCTCTACATAAATTGACAGCGTGTTTGACGTTAAACCACCTCTAAAACACTGAGAAAACTTGGCAATTTTTTGTCCACGAATTGCTCATTTAGTTTCGCTTCTTGGGTAGGTATTCTTTGCTATTGTTCTTTATCCTGTGCTAGGGCGATGAAATAGGCATTATGAGACATGATACACATACTAACGTTACGTTGACTTTCGATTCAAAATTCGTCCAAACCGCGCATGACATAATGCGGGACTATGAAGACTAGAGGTACTAGTCTTCATATGCGGGACGAACTTTCAAGTTATTTTAACACTTTTCGATTGAATAGTGTAAAATAATTTAATAATTTATTTGTTTTTGTGTTAGTAGTGAGTATATTTTCCTATATATAACAGAGAAGAACTAAATTAATGTTTAAAATGCCGGGCTGCGCGGTAGAAATATTTCCGAATTCCTCAAAATATAGGTAAATTCTTATCGAAGAAAGGACAAACTTAATTGAAGTTGCCCTATCCACTTTGACGAAAGTAGTTGTGAGATTCCTCTTAAACATAGACGCAAGAAAAGGAAACTGAATTCCACCAGGTGCACAGGCCTCATTAGGCAAAGAAAATAAATCGGTATTTAAAAATTTTAGCAAATAAAACAGTAGTTTTCTGTCCCAATACAACGGTCCTTTTGAAGTAATGCGATGCATGAGAAGGACACAAACATATATAAGAATAAGATAAATGAACAAGAAAATGGGTTTTGAGTATTTTCAAAGTAAACTTGACAAAAAATGTTTAAATTTACCAAATAAAAAGTAATTTTTCTGTGTACTTACTTTTTATAAATAAATAATTTGTTTCTGCACACTTATTTTTATTTCACATAATAAGAAAAGAGATTGCAAGAGAACTACCATGCCCAGAAAGCACAAATTTGAGTCAAACTTTTTTTTTAGTCTATATTTTTTACTTATCTTATGGCCAGGTTATGGATTTTGTCACAAAATACCTATAATTTATAAGAAAAATTAATATTTTTATTAGTATTATTTACCTTAAACCTTCATATTTGTAAAGGAATTTATTACAAAACAACCAATTTAAGTAACTGCATAAAATCGAAAATTGGCAAAATATCAAACTTTAAACATCTCCCATTTAATGCTTATAATTCTATGTTCCACGTGACGTCACCGTCAGTCAGCTGCGTGCGCAGGAACACACCGTTAGTCTGTGTATCGTGATTATGAAAGCATATAATTTATTAAAATCCGTATTTAATAACGTTTGTTTAAATGTCGAGGGAAAATGCCTATGCACTATGTTATGTTAGAAATCGGGTGTTAATATACTGCGAATTAAAAGATCTATTGTATCCCCTTCTGTCGCTAATGCAGCAAGGAAATATCTCGATGTCTATAACGACCCTTCCAATCCTGTCTTCTCAAGGAAGTGTAGGATTTGGAGTGGCTTCAAGTGAGGAAAATCTCCCTCTTCTATTTGATATGATCCTAGGTATAGTGCCTTTGGATTCTGGAGTGCTATACATTCAGTCAGAATATGAATGGAAGTTTCGTCCTCCTCCTCATAGAATCTGCACTTACTATATTCAACTACTCCCAGATTACTAATTCATCCTTTGAGTCGGCAATGCCTGGTAAGGATCCATGTTACAATACGTAGCCTGTTCTTGCTCAGGCAGATACAAACTTTAGATCTTTTTTGATTATATTCACCTAGAAGAATCTTAGCTTGTCTTGGCCTCAAGGGATTGTTCCAGTTATCGGTTCTTCCACTGCCCAATTGTTTTTTAATCTCTCCTAATATTTTTTTACTGCTGACATAGCTCATTTTAACAGGTCCACACTGAACTTGGGACTCGCACTGGGTCCTAGACTCGCACTAAGTCTTCTTATCCACTTTGGATTTGTTATAAACTCACAGTGGATTTTAGATAAAACTCACACTAAATTATAGCACTATCTGGAATCACATGTAAATTAATGTGAACTGAAAGAAAAAGTAATTATGTCCAGTTAATCATTATCCTCCATTTAAAGTTTTGCTAGTTGTTTGATGCTATCAAAAAACCAGTATCT